AGTCCATAAGTGTTCGTTTCTCCTCCTCATTAAATTCCACAGTATATGTTGGCTGACATGTATTGCTTTTATATTCTTTGGTTTCCTGCAATGCTTTTGTCTAGCCCTCCTCCCCCCCCCCCCATCCTTTTCAAAATCTTCCCCAGTCGGACTCCAGGCTACTTTGTTACCGCCATGGGCCCCAATACAACCTTACGGTTGAACAGGGCTGGCCAGGATTTGAGCATAGCCAAACTTTAGCGATGGCTACTATTTGAGCATGGGGGATTCTCATCCTTGAGATTTAATTCTGCAGACTTATTCGGGATTGGGGTGGGGTGGGGGGGGGGGGGGCAGACCGCAAGTGTAGCTCATCCCTTTTAATTTGCCGTCATTGTAGTCTGATAATGGATGCAGAGCCGCAGTAATGACTTGATTGTCGCAAACTTCTCACATTTTGTGGCGCACTGAGGATATCATCTATAGCCCTGTCCATTGCTCGTCCGCCCTCCACATTAGCCTTACATGCAAGTCTATCCGCGTTTTCATTTCCTTTTATCCTTACTTGCCATGCCTCCAAAATAAAACTGAACTTTGTCAGTCGTCACTCAGCCAATCTTTGTACCTAGTCCATCTCCGTGCTCTTGAACATACTGGACACGCAGATAGTGAACCCTGGAGTACCGACATGCGTCATTGAGAGTGAAGATTTATAAGCAATTTTGAGGAATCTGCAAATTTGTGGTTTGCTTATAGAAGAAAGATGAGAACCCGATGAACTGATAAAAAGCGTAATGAAGATTTCTTGACAAGCTTAAATCACAAAGAGAAATAAAACAATTTACTCTTTAAGAACACCAGAAGAGTGGAGAAATGGGGTACGTAATGCCAGTGGGGAAAATTGTAGGTAAAAGAGATAGGTAGTGGCCAAGAGAGAATGTTTGCCATCACGGTATGGAAGACCATGCATCATAAGTGTTTTTCTTTTTCTGAGGCGCTATCACATGCGTTAGAGAAAGTTAAGGCCGTTGTGATGTGAATAAGGAATTACTCCGTACCTCTCCTCGGGCGCTAGCAGGCGCTGGGATGGTTTAACAGATACTCACGCAAGACTTGCTGTACTTCCACGTCGGATAAGGCCTCACTTTAATGACTTGAACCGAGTTGACAGAGGATCTCGGAGTTGGTGGCCTCTAAAGATGTAGTCAGAGCTAATTTGGAACGTGAGTAATGGCAGCTAGCGGAAAATACTATGCAATGACAATACTGGGTTAAAACGACTGCCGAGAGGGAAGAATTGCTGCACTGCTGAGATACAGCCCTATAACAAGAGATTTTCTCGCAGCCTAGACGAGCTACATCTCTTGCGAGCGGTAACTGGCGGTCCCGTCTCTATACATCCCTCGCTGTTCTTCAACATCGCCGAAGTACACCAGGACAACCTGCCACTGGTCTGGCATACATGCCTGTTAATGCATGTCCTGTGGCACAGAAATAAAGACCCGTATGAGAAAAAAAAAAAAACGAAAGAAGAACCAAGGTGTCTAACGTACCATAGAAAAATTTACCTATTTGTGCGGCAATCGAAGTCCTGGACTTGCAGGCTGCTCCCTCCCTCCCAAGAGCCAGGGCAGGGCTTGAAAATAAAGAAAAATATCATTCCACAAGGGAATGAAGGATGTCACCGATATTGTAGACAACAAGCGAGGGGAAGAAGTCTGCGATCCATTGCTAGAGGGGCAGCAGTGGTTATTGTCATTCAGTGTCGATGTAGTATCTCTTTAATGACATTAATCCATATTCTCCAAGGGCGACCTTTTGCTTTCACATCAGATCTTTTTATGTGCAAATGCCTGCGTTAGTAGTCACCCACCGAGGGCCGATTCACCGATTAGTGCACATAGGTATAGCCCTATATGCCCAATACACCCGAAGGCGTGAGAAAGCGTCCTTTACTTTACTCTTTTTAATGACCTTTACCGGTTGATAATGTTTGCATATATATTACATAAGATCCTAAGATTCAATAACGAACAATATGATTTAAATTGGAGACAGGAATTTGGCCAACACGGGTTACCGTACTTGCATGTCGCTTTGGTAGTCACTTGTCCACCAGGTAAATACTTTCAATGAAAGGAGACTAGACTGATATTTCGTGGGAAATTACAAGAAAAGTCATACTATTCTCAGGTACACAACTCACCATTTACTAACTGTATATCGTTATGATAATTGACGTGATAGACACAGTTGTACAGTAATATACCTGTAGTATTTTGTTTCTCACCTGAGCGGTAACTAAAGCCCTCTCCTTGTTATGAGTCCCCCAACGCGGAAATGACAGTATTGACACTGTCCTGTTCTCGATAACTTAATTTGAAAACTGACTTATTTCTTTGTCTTTAAAATATTAATATAAATGGAATTCAATTGTCTTTGTCTTTCTTCTTCTTCTGTGTCCACAGTATTTAAGTATTCTAAGAATTTTCTTTAGCATTTCAGTTTAAAAGCTCCAAAAGTTTTCATCAGTGACTGAGTCGTTCATAAGTTGCCGCAGGAAAAATTCATGTGTCTGTTGATCTGGCTCTCAAAATAAATGGTAAATTTAACTAACTCGCTGACAGCTAGTCTTAAAGCTACATTTATGTTATTTATGCATCTTCCTTTATGTTATTTATGCTTTGAAAAACACTGTCAGTACCAGAAACTCCAAGCATGTTTATTGATTACTCAAATACATGGCACACTTAGGCTAAATCCTTCTGTCCATTCATTTTTCCTACAGCAGTCATTGTGCTAACTCGTTCTGTTTCACATTTCTACAGTTTGAGTCCATTGACAAGAGATTTGCTCTAAAGTGCAAATACATGGAGCTAAAAAGTATTAAAGTAACAACTGTCTGGTACAGAAAGAGTAAAGGTCACCATTGACTTGATTTAAAGTTGGGCTATCCTCTAAATAACGGTCCTAAATTATCGAGGCGGAAAATATACCCTACCAGGGCCTCAGTCACGTGTCAATTGCTCACTTCTGTCATCTTAAAGTGCGCGCTTCCAGCGAATTTTGTCACCGTTGAGAGTATCCCCAACACCGCTCATGCGGCCTAGATTGGGGCTAAACTAGATGGCTAGGACTCACGAGCAAATAAAATGAAGGAAGCTGCAGGAGATGCTGTAGCTGCTGCTCATGAGTCCTAGCCATCTAGTTTAGCCCCAATCTAGGCCGCGAAAGCGGCGTGGGGGATACTCTTGCGGTGGCGGAAGTTGCCGTAAGTTCGCAATTCGGCGGTGGCACTGTAGTCCCTGGAAGTGCGCAATTGACACGTGACTGAAGCCCTGTTAGGGTATATTTTCTGCCACAATAATTTAGCACCGTTTTTCGGAGGATACCTAAAGTTGTGTTGCAGTGTGGGTTTGGCACTAACATATGATGAGATTACGGCTGACAGTTTAAATGATGAACACACTGACTTTCTGGAGGACATGTTCAGAGTGACAACATCATACAGCTAGGGGCAGTAACAACCACTGGCACAACAAACCATTGAAGCCCTTGAACTTGGCACTAAATAAATAGACCACAATTAGAACTGAAGCTGTTTGACAGGGTTCGATGTGGCCAATAATAATATAAGAAATCTCCACAGGGGAGCAAAAACAGCAGGAGTCCACCGATCGTCAGTAGAACGTCCTTCGTCAACAATTGTTTTGGCTCGTTACAATCCTAAACAATCTCAAAGGTGGGCCAACCTGGTTCATGAAGCCAGGCCCAGTGAAATCCCCTGCTGCACTTGATGGAACACGTAATTTTATCGGACGAGACGACGGTGTATCAATACGTACTGGTGAGACTTGGTTCATTTGTGGTGTATTGGTCGCCATGGCAGACGGTCTGCCTGTGGTCGAGTGACGAGCGAGAGATCAGACGCACGCAAACACCGGCCCATATAGTATGCGTATACCATAGTGGTAGCAGGCTATTGTGCTGTGGTCGGACATAAAATGTTTGGACTCACGTTATTTTCGTTGGACTTAGCAGTTGGCAGAGAGACATTGACAGACACTTAGGAATTTGCTTCAGCTCTGCACTTTTCAATCTCCCTCTGTCTCCTGTAATAACATCAACTTTCTGAAGTACCTATCCTAAGGGTACACCACTTACATTCTGAGTGTTCATGCCTAGCTCTGGAATCTAGTACCTTTCATTATCAAAAGATTATGCTCTCTTATTTGTATCTTTTTTCACTTTTGTAGTGATTTATGAGGATTATTATAACATCAGTCCAGATAGATCAATAGGTGCTCTGATCTCCTCTTCAAAATGTTGAACTAAGAATCAGCATCACAGCATTTGGGACACTCCCATAAGTGCTCCATCCCCATCTTAATCAGCAAGTGAAGAGTTCCAGTTCCAATGGTACCAGTAACTGTCTACATCCGTCTCACTTTTCTCTTGAGTGTTGAGCATTGGCCAGATCTCCTGGTAACTCCCCACAGCACCATTATCCTCAGACCATAATCATCTGTTTGTGCCTCCGCACTGTTCACTCGCTCCAAAAGGGCCCTCACAACATCTAGTTTGTCATACATCAGTTTAACACCAAGTGGTTGCAGAACATGCCAGATTGTCTGCCTGCTCGTTTCCCAACACACAAACGTGACCTGGAAAAAATATCCAAAGGATGCTAACTACCTGGGACCTCTGAAGTAATGCTTGCCACTCTATGCAGAGCATACCTGTCTCCTCCTTTCTCAACATGCTCTGTGAGTCAGTTACAATTACGACATGTGTGTACAGCTGATTCTAAAGCCAGCGGAAAGCAGCAGTGACTGCCTCTACCTCCTTTCTCAAACTAGAAGTGTGATATCATTTACCAGGCTTCACAAGCCTAAAACGACTGATGACACCTGTTCTGTGTTGATTAATCAAACATCTCCTCACTTTTATTTTCAGGTTTATGTCTAGGCCCACCTCAGTTCCTCTTTTAATTTAAGTTCTTCAGCACAAAGCAAGCCACCATGGGTTTGGGAGAAACATCACTCAAATGGAGGTGTTCTTTTTTCCTGATGTTTATTGGTAAGTCCATTCAACCGTTCAGTTTTCAGTCAGCCGGAAGCATACCTGTTACAAGCAAGAAGTTTGATTGAGCCTTAACAATGTTGAGGATCCAAGCTTGAAATAGCCATATTATGGCTGGGGAGGACCCAAAACTTTAAATAGCCATATTTTGACTGGGGATAGCCACAACTTTCAATACCTATCATGGCTGGAGAGGACCCAAAACTTTAATTGGCCATAACATGGCTGGGGAAAACACAAAACCTTAAATAGCCATAACATGGCTGGAAAGGACCCAAAACTGTAAACAGCCATATTATGACTGGGAAGGACTCAAATATCAGTGTAAGAGGCCTTTGTGGCTATGGATGGATTGAGGGTGATGATAGTAACTTAGGGACTTTTGAATTTTGATAGATAGTGTAGTCTGTGGTAGTATGTTAGTTGATGGTATTTTAATGTAAGTACTATTATGGGTAGGCTTTTTAACAACATGTGTGGTGTAGTGATAGTCCAGTGTATTTAAACATATTTGCTAAAGCCCCCATCACCTGATTACTAATTTGTTTCTTTGTGAGGTGGCTCATGAGGAGGTTTTGATGGTGAAGAAGAAAATAAAGAGAGCAATATCATGGGTTTCATACACAGGCAAATCAGCTCAGTGTTTGAGCACACTATCCAGGGCTGTGCAGAGGCATGTCAATTGAGGTGTAGGTTAAAGAGATCAAGGAAAGAGCTTTATCAGAGACTGTTGATTCAGACCCTGTTAGCAGCTGTAGGGCCAGTGCATGGGTGGTGATAGTAAAGCACCGTGGCAGGTCTGTGGTTTGGTTAGCAGCGTGAACTACCTATTGGCTAAACTACCATATTCGTGATTGTAGTCACATTAAAGGCTTATGTGTATCCTCTGGTTGGTGGCCTATGTGTATCCTCTGGTTGGTGTTGGATTAGTTTGTGTTTAGATCGACACCTTGTCATGGAGTTGCCTATGAGCCATTGCCTTCAAGATGGTAAACAGCTTTTTGACATTCAGCTCAAATGAGGATGCCAGCCCAACAGGGCTGTTTAGGATACCCTATTCACCCTCCTCATCATGTATTCGGTTCTTTGCAAACTGTTGCTGTTATCATGGCATGCCAAAAAGCCTGTTGATCACATGCCAACTTTCCTGTCATGAACTTTATGCCGAGGAGATCCTCATATCCTGTATCTATCATCATGCTGGTCATATAGCGATTCTTCTTCCAGGAACCAACCCTCTGTACTATTTTCTCTAGACCATTTTGGCGTATTCTAGCTGCTAGGAAGCTATTATCATTAACTGAGATATCAACATCACTGCAGATGAGTCACCCTAAAACTACTCAGTTGCTATCTTTTTTAGGGGGGGGGGGTGGGGGGGTCTCCTCACGGGTACTAGGTTGTAGTCCAGTGTCATGGTTTTCTGTATTTGTCTTGCACTTCTCGGACGGCTTTGGTGATGGGTTTATTTATCCTTTTCTAGGTTTCAGCTACATCATTTATCCATCTCTTTCTTGGTCTTCCCCTTGACTTCACTTACAAATATTCTGCTGTAAAAAGTCTTATGCAGTTTTTGTCTGGCTGTATTATTACTAGATAGCTGAACCATTTGATTCCTTGTCTGTCAATATAATTAAAACAGGCTTGCTCCTTTTCTAATACAGTTCCTGTGCCAGTGGAAATCACACAAAATGTTCTTCACTGTCCCATTTGAAAACTAATAAAAGCTTGTCAGTCCGAGCAAAATCTTGAAGCTTGCACAAGCAAAGTAAAAAATATATAAGGTCGCTATTAGATTTGACAAAACTAAAACTAGGAAGGTAAAATTAGGGCTCATGTGATGGCTACACTATGTAATAATCTGATGCACACTGCCAACCTTACTGGCCTGGAGTCAGCACAAGTTCACCATTTATAATATAGTGCTATAAATTATCTATGATGTTCTATGCATTGAGACATGGAGAATAAGCAGACAGACTGAAAGACATTTACTCATAGCAGAAAGTGGTTTTTGAGAAGAAGCTGCAGAATATCATGGAGTGATGAATAAAAAAACAGGCAGCCTTTCTTGAGACGATTTAAAAAAAAAGTGGGTGTAGATAGTTGGGTGTTTTTTTTTAAAGACATTAAAAGGAATGTACTAGGAACTTGGTATCAACTGGCAAGACTGATGGAAAGAGAAGGGGAAGGCACGCAAGTAAATATACTGGAATGCTTAGCCATATGGAGGAGGGGGGGGGGGGGGGGACAAGAACACTGACCTGATCTATGATTGTTTGGAATGGCGAGACATGACAGTCATGCTTTTTGGCGGAGCACATGATGATAGTGATACTCTTAATAATATAGAATATTCCTGCAGTCACAGCAATGCTGTTAACATAATTATATACTCACCATTGAATTGTAATGCCATTGTCAATTAATTTATATCCACTGCTACATCTAAGCATATTTTCTTTTCCAGGATTCATCTGTATGATCGCAGCTATTGCATCCACCAACTTTGCTTATGCTGAATTGATTCCAAACAAACTAAAGCACATTGGATTCTGGGACATTTGCGATGACACCCAGACTTTCAGTTGTATGGATATGATTGTGTTTATGACATCCATAGACAGAGGAACAGGTTGGTTTCTGTTTCTTTGTTTTAACTCCTATAGGGTGATGAACAATTAGTATAATTAGTTCAAAATTTATGTCTGTTTATTTTTATTCTCCCTCTGGGACCAAAAGGTTTCAGATATTGGCTCAGATGGCTCTATTCGGATGCCAGTCTAACAGGAACAAATCTCAGATGCCCCATTTAAGCATAGAGAACAGTTACACTGGGGCAACTTAGAACTACAAAAATCTACTTGCAGGCGTGTATGGGAAGGGGATAATATACTGGGAAATTGTCTCCTTTCTGCCTTACGTTTTCTTCCCTCCAGGCGGCTGCCTGAAGGTTTGACCACCCAAGATTCTAAAATATATCTAGATGATGGGCCATTAGGGCAAGTTCCAGATACCTGTTCAGTCTCCCAAGTTATAATTGGGACATCCATAATGGCCACACCAGTCTGTTGTAAGGGCAGTTGTATTTGTGTTTCACTTAAATATAGAAATTGTCTCATTCAATCAGTTTGTCTGCTATAGACTGCTACCTGAATGTTTTCTGCCCTGGGCTTTCAAATATATGCCTGGATGGCAAACCCGGACACTGTTTACCCTGAAGAAGAAGAAGAAGAAAATACAGAACACTCTTAAAGTGCCACCATTCAGAACCCTGTGTGCACAAGTCCCAGAAACCTTGTTCAACTGTTAGATTATATTAGGGCCCTCGACAGCCAGAGAAGAGCTTTAAAGTAACCACATACAAAATTGCATCCCGCAAAGCAATACATTATGTGTTCATATATCTTTTATATTTGGTCTGAGCTTACTAAAGAATTCTGGCCACTGATTTTAAAATGCAAGACAGTGTATGTTTTATGCAGAGTTTATATTGCCTTTTTAAAAGTAAAGCTCACCTATTATGCTTTGGTCTGGAGTATGTCATAGCATAACTTTTGACATCTCAAGAGCAGTATCTGTCATGAGTGTCTTAACTTCTGGTTTCATTGTGAATGAAAAAGCTAGCTTAATTCTGTGGATGAATAGGATAGAAAATATGAATGGGAAAAAACCCTGACTGGAAACAGAAGTCATGAATGACAGAGGAATACATGAATAGATCAGAAATATGGCAATGAAAGAGGGATAAACATGAAAAGACGACAAATTGGGCATTGAAAAGGAAGGTAAATTTGAAGAGGGGTAAACATGAATAGATAAGAAGTATGAGAATTTAAGAGGAAGGTGAATTGGAAGAGGGATTAACATGAATAGATAAGAAATACAGGAATGGAAGAGGAAGATAAAATGGAAGAGGGATAAACAAGAGTATATAGAAATATGGGAAGGTAAGAGGTAGATAAATTAGAATAGGGATAAACATGAATAAATAACAAATGAATGGAAGAGAAAGATAAATTGGAATAGGGGTAAACACATGAATAGATAAGAAATATGGGAATGGAAGAGGAAGATAAATTGGAAGAGGGATAATATGAATAGATAATAAATATAGGAATGAACGAGAAAGATAAATTGGAAGAGGGATAAACATCTGATACCCAGACATTTAAACATTTTTTTTACCCACAGTAAGGTAATATAAGAAAATCAAACATGGTTACCTGGCTATTTCTAACTTTAAACTTTGACCCACAGACTGGGTCTATGGGTGTAGAGCCATGGTTGTCCTGGGTCTGATCTTGGAGTTTGGAACACTTCTGACCTCACTGTGGATGGCTTACATGGCATCAGGTATTCACATTGGCAGTCTGATCACAGCTATTGCAGATTTTGTTTCAGGTACGGTTTCATGCTGTTGTTTGTTTTTATTGAAGTAATGGGAAACCACATTATTGCATGGAAATAATTTAATGGGTTAGATTTATGGTAAAGCTGAGCAAAATGAAAACGTAACATTTTAGAACAATGCAATGAATGGCAGAGAAGTATATATATTAATTTTGTGGACTTTGAGAAAGCTTTTGACAGCGTCCATAGAGACGGTCTTTGGAAAGTTTTACGACATTATGGAATTCCAAAAAAAAAATAGTCAACATAATTGTTCTCTTCTATAAAGACTTTTCCTGCAGTATAAAAAATTACAATACATCTTTCCCAGTAAAGACAGGTGTAAGACAGGGATGTGTTATGTCATCTCTCCTCTTCAACCTTGTGATTGATTGGATACTAAAGAACACAGTAGACAGGGCATTAAGAGGCATACGATGGACTCCATTCACCATGCTTGAGGACCTTGATTTTGCAGATGATATAGCACACCTATCACATAAACATGAACATAAACAAGGAAAAAGTAACAGACTACACAGCAGAGCAGAAATGGTGGGACTGAGAATTAATACAAAGAAAACTAAGATCATGACAAGCAGTCCAAACCAACAACCAGTGACCATTAATAACCAAACTCTTGAAAATGTAGAACATTTCACATATCTTGGCAGTGTGGTGTCCCTAACGGGAGGGACTGACGAGGACATACAGTCACGTCTGAACAAAGCTAGAGCTGCTTTTGAAAGGATGAAGCAAATCTGGAAATCCAACAGTTACTGCAGAGGAACAAAACTCCGACTCTACAAGAGCATCATTTTGCCAGTTCTTCTTTATGGAGCGGAATGCTGGAGAATGACCAAAAAGGATGTACACAAGCTGTCCACCTTTTACCACACATGTCAACGTAGAATTATCAAAATTTTCTGGCCAGATACAATCTCAAACACTCAACTACTTCAAGTCACAAACCAAGAAACTTTAGACAGTATGATAACCAAGAGAAGATGGAAATGGCTTGGCCACGTTATGAGAATGAATCCTGATATACCTGCCAAAACAGCTCTCACATGGATACCAAAGGGAAAGAGAAAGAAGGGGTGCTCAAAAACAACATGGAGACGAACGATGCAAAGTGACCTGAGTGCAGCATCTTTGACATGGAAAACTGCACTGAAGATTGCACTGGACAGGAAAGCATGGAAAGTCCTCTCTTAGAATTGAAGCCTCATGTGCCACTAGGCATAACGAGAACTGATGAACAAAATAATCATTGTTATGGTACTTTGTAACATTAATGATGTTTGTGGACCTTAAGACAAGACAAATTGCCAGAGCTAAGGAGATTATCTTCTAGTTGGCATTCTTTGGAGATTTTCTCTGGTGCAGACAGGAGTGTTGGGAATATAACAGGCAGACAGACTGGCTGGTTCTGCACTAGGTGGTGATTTGATGCATGACTAGCTAGATGTGATCAAGACCCTTGAGGAGCAAGTGAAAAATACAGAGGCATGAATAGATCATTATGGTCTGGTTAGAATTACAGCTTTATGGTCTGGATAGAATTACAGCTTTATGGTCTGGATAGAATTACAGCTTTATGGTCTGGATAGAATTACAGCTTTATGGTCTGGATAGAATTACAGCTTTATGGTCTGGATAGAATTACAGCTTTATGGTCTGGATAGAATTACAGCACTATGGTCTGAATAGAATTACAGCTCTATGGTCTGGATAGAATTACAGCTTTATGGTCTGGATAGAATTACAGCTTATGGTCTGGATAGAATTACAGCTTTATGGTCCGGATAGAATTACAGCTTTATGGTCTGGATAGAATTACAGCTCTATGGTCTGGATAGAATTACAGCTTTATGGTCTTGATAGAATTACAGCTCTATGGTCTGGATAGAATTACAGCTTTATGGTCTGGATAGAATTACAGCTCTATGGTCTGGATAGAATTACAGCTTTATGGTCTGGATAGAATTACAGCTCTATGGTCTGGATAGAATTACAGCTCTATGGTCTGGATAGAATTACAGCTCTATGGTCTGGATAGAATTACAGCTTTATGGTCTGGATAGAATTACAGCTCTATGGTCTGGATAGAATTACAGCTTTATGGTCTGGATAGAATTACAGCTAGGAGTGACCATGTGATCTGGTCAACACTCTGCACTCAAAGGAAAGGCATGCTGGACATATATAACACTGTGACAGTAATTTTTTTACGACAGTTAGTGCCTCTAATGGTGTGTGTTGTTGGCTTCTGGTTGATAAGATTATTATTGTTGTTACCTTCTTGTCTTTCCATACAGTAGTGTTTTATTGTGCTAAGGGAGGCATGTTTTGGCAAACAAGAACACAAATGAATACTGAGGCGGAAAATAACATGTTTATCGTTGGTAAATGTTATCAAAATAAAGAATAGGAGGATGGCTGGACATGTTTTGAGAATGGTCATGATACTTTGGCTTGGACAGTTCACCAATGGATGGCAATTAGAAAGGGAAATTGATGTTGTATACTATGGGCAGAAAAGCTACAGATTAAATGTTGAATTAAGAAAAGACATTATAGAACTAGGAACACTCTCATAAGCGCTCCATCTCCATCTTCAACAGCAAGCTCTACTTCCCATGGTATCCTTAACTGTCTGATTGTACATCCGTCTCACCTTTACGCTGAGTGTCGGCCAGATCCCCTGGTAACTTCCCGCATCACCATTCTCCTCCAACTGTAATTATCTATTTGTGCCTCTGCACTGTTCACTCACTTCCAAAGGGCGCTCACAACATCTAGCTTGTCGTACATCAGATCACCACTAAATGGTGCAGAACTGGCCAGTTCATCTGCCTACTCATTTCCCAACACACCAGCATCCCCTATAGAAAATATCCAAAGCACATAACTACCAGGACAGACTGACAGCACTGGAGACAATCTGTAAAAGCCCTAAGTGTCAACAGTGACATTTTGTGGATATAGTTAGAAAGAGGCAGGGAGGCATATGAACCAAAGGAGATACAGAGGCAGGGGAATCATAGTCCTTGGTGATTGCAGTCAAGACCTGCTCGTATCAAAATGTGTCCGGAGTGGCATGAAGATAACCGAAATCATAACTTATAACTTAAAGGTTATAAATCTGAAATCATCGTGAAGATGTGTGACAAAGTTGACACTAAAAACTTGAGATGTATAATACTTTTCAAACTCATTATTCTTATTTGGCCATTTACAGTTATCGTGAGCCTTATTGGAGGACTTGTTTTCACCTTCAATGCTATCGATGTCCTGCAGGAGACACTGGAAATGGATGCTGACCCATCGTGGTCATTCGCTGTGTTCCTTTTTGGCCAGAGCCTCTTCTTTCTAGGTGGTGTATTGCAGGTTTACGAAGCTTGCACTGCTGACTAGTTGATTTCATGTGCTGTTGTGTGGTTTTAGTTCCTGGAAATGTGGAAAAATTGGAAATTGCTGAGATTATCAAAATAACAGGAGACAGAAAGTGAGGGTTTTGGTTGACACTCAAAGTAGATGAGAGGGCAGTTGTAGATACCAGATAAGACACTAGACAACAGAAAAATTGAAGGAAAGCTGGTTATACTGGAATCAGACCATTAATTTACATTGTTTTCTTCTTTTTCTCCTGCTGCTGCTGCAGTCTCTTCTGCTTCCTTCCTTTTCTACCCACCAGCCCTCTTCACATCTTCCCAGACACTTTATTATCTGACCTGTTTGTCAATGGTATCATTTGGAGGTCATCTAAATCATGACCTTCCACTTGTGCCGTCAGGTGTCAGTGGAGGAGCTCAGTGAGGGGCACTGGTTATAGTAATTCCCAGTGAATACAATATCTTTAATGTCATGAGTCCACTTCTGCTAGTACACCCTCTTGCGTTCATGTAAACTCTTATTAAATGTAGCATGTGTAACAATGTTTGTATATTCTCATTAGATGCCCAAACCATTTGATCTTTTCTTTCTCATTGTATTTGGTATTGCTCTGGGCACCTTTATTTCCCTCTAGTTATATTAAGCACGAGTTCAAATCTAGTTTGGATAGAATTTGTCATGTTTCTATTGTTAAGTTTATCCTACAATCTATAAGTGATGAAGGTATTTTGTCAGAGTATGCTTTCACATTTGTTTAAGGAGACTGATGATATATGGGCGTGCCCCGAGTGCCATGACATTAATTTTGTTAACCAGTAGCCAGTAGCCTGTTTTCTTACATCTACTTCTTGTCTGTTGACTTCTGTGATGGCAAAGCAATACCAATGAATGTCTGTATGGGATAATTCACCTATGAGTGCTTTTAAGAGCGAGGATGAGTGCCAGATGACATGGAAACACTGTCAGAGATGGGCTGTGTGGCTTAGAGGTTAGTGAGATTATTTCACAATGCGATCATTGACATTTACCAGGGTTCAGTTCCACAGTTTGGAAAAGGAGTTCTCGTAGCTTTAACTAGTAGAATAAGAATCATACCCTAGAAGAGATTGATAGCACTGGATACATTGCAATAAACTTTTATTGTGGGGGTTGTCCAGTTTTATATTTTTAAAGAGATGCATGTAAGATATTTAAAAATATTTTCACACTATGCTGATTAGTGCTTGCATGCTGTTAAGGCTTGTTATCATCATCACATGACAGGTTCTTTGCCGAACATCGCGCCCATCACGGCCTTCTGGAAAAACACTTGAACCTTTGCCAAATGTCCAAGTATCTTAACATTCTTTAGCCACCTACTTGGTGGTTGACCCCTGTTTCATAGGCCAAGAGCTGAATTTTCCACCACTGTTCTATCTAAGCCACTTTTGTTTTATTTGGTCAAAGTATTTCTGTTTCCAAAACATGATGTTATTAATGAGCCCACTTTATTTGATGTTTAGATCTGATAAAACTTAATTATTGTTCTTCTTGTTTTGTTTTTTTTAAAGAATGTTTCTGTAACATTTCAGTTGGGAGGGTAAATGTTGCAGTAACAACTATTTAGGACTACAGAGTAAAGTTCTGTATGCCTGATGAAGTGAATTAGTGCCATCTTGTAAATTGTTCCTTAGTAATTCATTATGTGGGGGAGGGGGTTGGATTTTTAATCAGGTCAGGCACTAACAGCATAGGAACTCTTCTTTGGCTGCTGAAGAAGGAAACAGAGCATGTGTGGAAATGTCCAGATTACAGTGATGCTGCTTTAAGCGTGTGTGGAAATGTCCAGATTACAGTTATGCTGCTTTGAGCATGTGTGTGGGAATGTCCTGATTACAGTGATGCTGCTTTAAGCGTGTGTGGAAATGTCCAGATTACAGGTATGCCGCTTTGAGCATGTGTGTGGGAATGTCCTGATTACAGTGATGCCAGTTTGAGCGTGTGTGGGAATGTCCAGATTACAGTGATGCCAATGTGAACATGTGTGGGGGAATGTCCAGATTACAGTGATGCCAATTTGAACATGTGTGTGGGAATGTCCTGATTACAGTGCTGCCAGTTTTAGATTCATTCATTCCTCAGTATGTCATGTTTTTATCAGGCCACAAATATCACTAATACATGATTACTGTTGCCATAAGTTTGGAAAATATCCTAGATCATAACTTTGGATGTATTGATATAAAGATTTTTTGTGTGTGTTCCACAAAAAAAGTTCATATTTTCCAGTGGCTAAAGGATTATGAATACAATTCCACAGCCCTGACAAACAGTGGGGTCTGACATCAGCTGCAAGCAGTTTATTAGCAGTCCACTTTACATTGATATTTTTTTAATGATTTGATTTGATTTCAAATCATTAAAAAAATGATTTCATTTCATGATATCACAACAGTGATATTTGATATTATTTTAACAACAATATAAGACAAGCATTGTCTAACTATTGAAAATAAAAATGCACAGTTAAGTTTGCATTGGCTACATCGGCGACCGGGTCGCCTGTAGACACCTTCGTCGCCATTTGGGACAGTTTTTGGGTCTGTTTTCTTTGATTGCATCACCACTGCAGTAGTCGTCTTTTCAAGGCTGTTGGTGGCAAGCAATGCTAAGCTATTTTATATGGCACACATAGCCTAGTCACAGTTATAACCTAAGCTTCCCCTTTGCGGATGGTGTTTAAATGTGATGATGTTTTCTTCCAGCAAAGTAAAAGCATTGGCTAACTACCTAAAATAAAAATGCTGAGTTCAACCTCCTTTGGCTAATTACTGAAAATAAAACTCCCGAGTTAAACCTGCATTGCCTAACTACTGAAAATAAAAACCTCCAGTTAGATCTGCATTGGACTGATTTATGACACCCTGAAGAAGAACAGGCAACATTTTCCTAGTATATTAACCTCTATTTTACTAATTGAAAGGTCCACCCATTGACAAACCACCATTAGGACTGTTCTTTTCCTTGTGCCAGACCATGTAGTAAGGTTGGGGGTAGTTTATGTCCCAGTGCCAGGTGTGTTTGTGTTCATTGTAATGTGTTGTTGATGTCAGTCCATCTGCTTATTGGTCTTCCTTGTGCTGTTACCTGTTCTACTACAGACACAGAGGGGAGTTTTGCAGTTGTAATTCTCATTAAAAGACTGAATCACTTTAGTCTGTCTAGACAGTAAGTGCAGTTGTTAATTCTATCTTTCTCTGATTTCATAATTTCCTGACCAAAAGAACTATTTCATGAAAAAAAATAGTAAAGGACCTTGATATCATGTCATATGAGACATGACAGCACAGTTTCCAGACACTTGCCAACCAGCCCAAAGGTCTTGAATTCAAATCTCCAGCTAGATGGATTTTTATCATTCTTACCCACTGTACTGTGGCTTAGGTGTTGCGAACGAGCTTCATAATGCTGAGGTATTGCATTGCGTTGGTTTCGACAGTGATATCAAGAAGCCTAACTTCCAGAAAGCAATGGAAACTACTGGATGTAAATTTGCCTAGACAAACCACAACAGCCAAAAAATGCGTGGGTTGGTTCTACAGTGTCCTGAAATTGATAGGCAACTAACTTTAACTATCCACAACATGCCACCTGGTCTGTAGAACTATGGGTCTGGCATCCATATGCACCAGAAAGGTGAAGAAAATAATTTATCCTCACATATTGTAGAAAGGAGAACATTTCATGGGAAGTAACTGTGACTTACATATTGATCATATCACCCATTGATTGTAGACTGGTTAAAAAATATGAGACTAACAGGATGTGCTCAAAATGCTTTTTTTGTGTAAAGATTCCTTTAGTTTTCTGGAACTCATGATATGTTACCACAGGGATGTGTTGTACATTGTGAATATTTGCAGGTGAAATCTAAACTGTTAATGTAAATACTTTCAACAATTAATAGCCGAAACAAATATTTCATTGTGTTTACAAATATGCATATATGTTTGATACTACCGGAAAATAAAATACTTCTTATTGAAAACAATAGTTTTAACTTTGTTTGTTTGATGTGTGTTTGCAGCTTCATGCAGAGACAGTTTTTTTTTAAATTCTTTCCTTTATAGACAATTATTCCTAACCTTAGTTGGATGGGGGGTATAGTAATGCCTGCCTTCAGCTCTGGTTGTGATATTTCAAATAATTTCAAGCATGGAATTTTAAACACCCACATTGATTTTTCACCCAGCTCAATGTGAGTAAAAGGAAGTGGCAATATACAACATTTGACGTGATACTTGATGGCTTTGTGGCTTAGTTAGTGAAACAAGTTTAACAACTTCGTGATCCTCGAGCAATACAGTGGGACCTCGCTTAACAAGCATAATTCATTCCAGAATCATACTCGTTAAGCGAAACACTCGTTATGCGAAACAATTTTTATCATATAAATTAATGTAAAATACGATAATGCGTTCCATGTCAAATAAAACGTACCCACAAAATGCTATGTATAACCTTTATTCAAAGAAAATTATATACATATTGTTAAGGAGAGTGAATCATCTTGATCTTTTCTTCAAACGCAAAACAAACCCACCTGGAATGCGAATTCGATTTGCAGAAAAGAAAAAAAATTCTAAATAATTATGATACATAGCTAATTGTTTTATTTTTTTACTAAAAAGATGTCCAGAGACATTTGTTTTTGCCAACACTTCAAAATTTGGCAAAAATGCGACACGGCATTATCATTAAATAAATTTGCAGCGTGCATAGCCATTTCCTTATTTAGGTGATGTTTCTCAATGTAAGATGCAACAGTTTGCCATGCTTTCAGCATTTCTCTTATTTCGCCAGAAGATTGTTGCTTTTCTGTTACCTCCTCCTCCTCTGACAAACTTTTCTCCAGAACCTCTTGTTGTGAAACACAGTGCAACTCCATAAGCTCTTGGGTAGTCAGCTCTTGGCTGTTCTCTTTCACAAGCTCTTCGATATCATTGTTATTCACCTACAATCCCATGATAGTGGCCAAAGAC